TGAGAAAGATGCCACTTGGTGTTCGTCTAACTTCAAATCCTCAGATCCTAAGTTTTTTGCGAAAATAAACTTTAAATCTTGTAAAAAACTTTCTACCTTTGTTGTGACCCAAAAAAAAAAACTTTCTACCTTTGTAACAACATTTATCTCCAAGAAAAAGAGTTGGGAAAATAACAGTAAAACACTTGTTTCTCGTTAGCTAAAATCACCAAGAAAGTTTGAAGTGTTTTCATCAAACATTGCAATTAAAGAGAAGAGTCAATGTAATCCATCTTCTTTCCATATTTCTCTAAGGAGCTGATATCTTACAATCTTTCTGCGTCCATATCCTTTTGGCATCCACTCTGATGAATTGGTTGTTCCAGGAGCAGAGAATATGGAGTTAATGGATGTATCTAAGTCATCGAGCTCATCGTCACTCGTGTACTGTTTCTTAAACACGGATGATCCGGTTTCTGATAAAGCCGGGTTGTTCATCTCTCCTATGAAGCGTTTTATGGAATCTACAGTCGGCATTAAGTAGACCGTGGGTGACGCAGCACAAGGGAAGACTATGATGCTTCCATTGTCTTCCTCTGTTAAGCCCTGAGTTGAAAACAAAAAAGGGTCAACCACTGATTATTGCATTATTGCATTATTGCAGCCATAGCATGGTGTGAGAACGGTTTTCTAACCTCGGAATTCAGAACATCGAATAGCCTTCTCGGGATTCTATGCGGGTTAAACTCATCTGGGACAAAGTTTCGAAGTACTCTCTTTATTATTGGTGTACCAAGGGTTGGACAAACCTTGAGACAGGAACAAGAGGATATAAATATTAGCAAGTGTTTTGGACCATGAAGAATGAGTTTTTGAGTCTAATTACCTCTCTTCTTGTGGATTTATCTGCAAGCATTTTGAAAGGAAGCATCATTAGATCGCCCAACGCGTTGAGTAGATGGAACAATCTGAAGTTTTCAGATTCAGGATTCTCTTTATTATCGCTTCCAGATTTCTCCTCCCTTTGCTCGAATTGATCCTCAAGCCATCTGGACCAAGTTCCAATCTGCAAAAGGCAAGCAATACGATTACACACCAAAATGAATGTTTTTGTGGTTGAGAACTATGTTCATATGAGCTTAAGTACCGCGTTTTTTAGCTGTGCTCCCGCCCCGAAACTTGCTTTTCCTGCTGGAATTGGAAGAACATTTATGTCACTGATTGGATCAGAGACTGGATCTGTCGGCATTTCGCCTGCTGACTCACGAAGTATCGCATTGAACATTGCCACATCAAGTCTTCTGATTAACTGTTCCATCACCTGATTGCACAAGTAAAAAAGATTCTGGTTAGGCTGGTCAATCCGGGTTAACCAAACCGAAACCGTACTAAAAGCTGACCTCATACCAGTTTAGCAAGCATAGGTAGGCAACCACACTCTTGTCTTGAACCTCTTAGTGGGCAAAGTCTTTCGCAGGCAGCTTTAAAGGCATTCTTCCATAGCTCTATGGCATAGAGTCCCTGGTTCTTATGACCTAACCGTCTTTTTCCCGATATTTTCCTCGTGATCGATGATCCTTTAACCGTCCCAGATTGCATATACGGCGTCATACTCTGCAAACGGATTCATTTTCACATTTACGGTTTGCTGAAAACTGGTTTACAAACCCATAAGGAAATTCTGTTCTTTTGATTACCTGCCACCAAACTGATTTAACAACCCGAGAGAATATCCAGGACTCGAACTTCTCCAAAGCAGCTATGAATGCTCGAGGATCTTCCCATTCATCTGAACCGGCTTTATCAAAGCCAATGTTAAGTTTCTCCATACTGCGGCTTAACATTGCTCTAAGTACGATCGAATTTGAGAGCCAGAAGGTCAACCTGTAGATATATTTATAGAGACACAAAACGTTAGAAGAATTATCTATGCCAAGATGCAACCATCAAGTCTATATATTATGTATGGGAATAAAAACCGAACTGGACAAAATCTATGTTGATATAGTTACAATACCTGGGAACATCATTTCCGCATGCTTTAGAAACCAATATCAATCCAGAAACCGCGGCTCTGGCCGCGCAAGCTCTCTTAGAATGATCTGATGAGCCATTTCCTTTACAAGAATGAATATAAAACCTAGCAAGACGACGAGCTGGAGCATGAACTTTACCCATTGAGCTACTATGCTCAGCGACTACAGAGTAAACAGCTGCTTCAAGAACTGCTGCTTCCTTAAGCTCATCTTCAAGCGTCTCTGACCTAGGCTCCTGTGAAGTTAAACCTAGCTTGTTGTTGCTCACTCCACTTGCCTTTTTGTGAGTATCATCACTGGTTCCGTTGAAATGCAACTGAATAGACTTAAGCTGCTTAAGCCTTGGAACACCTTCCATTCCGAGGGTCTTTCTTCCTAAGGCAAGAGTGTTTGTCCGAAGTTTCATCTGTTTTCTTGCTGCGTCGGGAGGTAACGAAGAAGGAACAGAGTTGATCTCAGAGAACTGTTTCTTGAGCTTAAAGGCATTTGTATCATCCTTGTGTTTCTGTTCACTCTCTGAGCTCACAATGACTACTTGATTGCTCTGTCTCTTCTTCTCTTCTTCTCTTAATAGACTCTCGATCTCGGAGACGAGCGCTGCTTCATTGTTACTGTGCTTAAGCGTTACATGCTTCCAACCTTTCTTCTCATCTCCTTTAGTTCCCGCCTCCGTGTTCTGCTTTCATTCCATTGAGTCCAAATATTTGTTAGTCTTACTTGATCAAGAATACACCAATGAAAACTAAACTCTATACCTTTATAACATAATATAGTTTAAGAATTGGATCATAAAAGTAAAATTTGTTCKTCACAATAGTGATCTTTACCGACTCTAAAATGTACATTCTAGGTCAACTATGAAATATCCAAAAAGTTCAAGCATGGACGTGCGTACCTCAGATTCAATTCGAACACAACGTGACTAGAAGTAATAAACTACATGAAAGAACGTACCAAGCCATTTGAATTAGCATCACACACAGCTGAGAAAGAGACTCTCCGTGTAGAAGACGACTGCGACGAAGTATCATCGTCGTCGTCCGTCAATGACGCCAAACTAAACTCACTTCCTTCTTTGTCCACAGATCCTCTCATCTTCGGCTGCGACGAGCAGCTACTCCGTCCACCTTCATCGTAATCATCTCCTGCCGGTTCAATCGTTAGGTAAACCTCCGAGCTTGCGTCGTTCCTCGAGCTCTTCTTGAATGTAAAAGGAGCTCCCACGGGAACAGAGTTGGTCAACACGCCGTACTCAGCGAGGTTGACCACGGCCGTGCCAAGCAGCTTGTTCTTGACGGCCTTGTCTTTCTTCTTGGCGTCGTAGACATGAAGCTCCAGAAGATTCTTTTGGAACTTCATGTCGGACCCACCTTTCGGTTCTAATGTTAGGGTCAACCTAAAGGATTCGTTGAACATGATCGTGTCTTTGCCCACGACCGCGATAAACGAACCTGAGTTGTTTTCGCCGTTCTCCCATTTGAGAAGGACGCATTGTGCGGGGACTTGGCTTGTTGGCCATGGCTTTAGCTCCTTGATGGAGATGAGATACTCAAGGAATACTCCATTGTCTCTACGGCTCTTTGTTCGTAGACCCAACACCATTTTTTTCTTTGCAAGAGAAAATGTGATTGTTGATTATGATTTCATTTAAAAGGGTTTCGATTTTGGGTTATAATGGAGTTCATGTTTTGGAGTAGTAATAAACAAAACCACCGGCCTTAAAACGGACGTGGGTTGCACCATTTGTTTTTTCTTCCTCCTTTCTTATTAATACAAGCGGGGAAACATATCATGCTCTCATTCACCACTCGTTCTTT